CTGCAATGAAAGACAAAATAAAGTCAGGGAGTCAGAAAGGAAAGCTGGAACAGAAACAAGGTCACCCAGGAGGAAGTACCCGGAGCTTCTAAGCACAAACAGGATGTATGCAGCTACTCTAACACCCTTCCTGTCCAGAGAGGACTCACTCCCCTCCCATTCCATTCCAGCTGTGGGGATAACACTAGCTCCCCTTCTCTTTGATTTTCTGTAACTTGAGTAGCAGCCAAGATGGAAAATTGAAGCTGGAAGGAAAACTATCTGTTGTTAACTCTGGGCAAAGTAGTGAAGTCTGCAGAGTTTTGCCTGATGGCTTTCATTCAAGAACCAACCCACCCCCGCCCCATTCCACCCCGTCCTCTCACTCTAGACCAAGGGTGGGGAACCTGCGGCCTCGAGGCCACATGTGGCCCTTTAGGTCCTTAAGTGCGGCCCCTTTGACTGAATCCAAACTTCACAGAACAAATCCCCTTAATAAAAGGATTTGTTCTGTAAAACATGGACTCAGTCAAAAGGCCACACCCAAGGACCTAGAAGGCCACACGTGGCCTGGAGACTTCAAGTTCCCCACCCCTGCCCTAGACCATCCAATTAGTCTCTTGTGTGGGAGGAAAGTAATGTGGAGGGGGAAAAAAAAACTCTTTTCTTCATAGGATGGTCAGTCTAGAGATAGAAGAAACCTTTTGTCGTCGTTGAATCTTTCAGTCCTATTTGACTCTTCGTGGCCCATTTGGGGTTTTCTTGGCAAAGATACTGAAATAGTTTACCATTTTCTTCTTTAGCTCATTTTACAGGTGCAAAAATTGAGGCAAATAGGGTTAAGTGGCTTGCCCGGGGTTATTAAGTGTCTGAGCCAGATCTGAACTCAGGAATCCTGACTTTAGGTCCAGCACTGTATGCACTACAGCACCACCAGTTGCTCAGAAGAAACCTTAGCCATAGTGGCAGAGGTCCACTAAAGTAGCTAGATTTGAAGTCATAGTACCTAGGTTAAAATTCAGATCTACTTTTTATCTATGTGACCTGGAAATTACTTCCCCTCTTTGTCGTTCATTTCAGTTTTCTCACTTGTAAAATAAAAGGGGTGAACTAAATAAGCTTTAAAGTCCCTCCTAGATCTAAACTAAGGATATTGTGAGGCTCAAACAAAATAATGGATATAAAAACATTTTGTAAACCATAAAGCACTGCATAAATGCCCAGTTATCATTATTATTATTATTATTATTATTAATCAATGCTGTAGGCTCTGTAGGCACCAAGTCTATAGGTTGGTGATGACTTCATTCTCTGAGCTTTCTAATACCCTCCTGCTGACCTCAGGCAGTTTTATAGAGCAACACAGGGGTATGCTGATAAATGTGTAAAGACCTCACATTCCCAGGGGGGAAAAAAGTATTAATTATTAACACTTTCACAGATCTAAATAATCAACAATGCAATAAATCAAGCCATGATTTGTGACAATTAATGATTTCTGAAATGTAAATGCTCACAACAAAAATTTAAACAATCCGATAGAGTATAGGCACATACCCAGCTGAGCTCTCCCAACATTCCCCTCCAAACAACTTTAAAATAATTTCTCAAATCAAACTTCTCAAATCAAAATAAGAGCCATTTCCCAACTGATAAATGGTAAAAGAATAATATGAATGGGCATTTTCAGAAGAAGTCAAAGCTATCTATAGTCATATTTAAAAAAATGCTCTAAATCACTGTTGATTAGAGAAAGGCAAATTAAAACAACTCTGAGGTACTACCTGGCACCTATCAGAAATGACAAATGCTGGAGGGAATAAGGAAAACAAGTACATTAGTGAACTGGTCCAACCCTTCTGGAGAACAATCTGGACTATGCACAAAGTGCTATAAAACTGTGCACATCCTTTGACCCAGCAATACCTCTACTAAGTCTATACCCCATTAAATGAACAGGACCTATATGTACAGAAATATTTATAGTAGCACTTTTTTTTTGTGGCTACAAAGAATTGGAAATTGAAGGGATGCTTATCAGAGAATGGCTAAACAAATTGTGGCATACTATTATGCTATAAGAAATGATGAGGGGAGTGGTTTCAGAAAAACTTAGCAAGACCTATATGAACTGGTGCAAAGTGAAGTGAGAAGAACTGGGAGATCATTGTGCATAGCAACAGTAATGTTGTAATGATGATCAACTGTGAAAGACTTGGCTAATCTGATCAACACAATGATTCAAGAGACTTGCAAAGGACTCGTGATGAAAAAATTCTGTCTACCCCCAGACAGAGAACTGAAGAACTCAGAGTATAAATCGAAGTTTCATTTTCTTGTTTGTTTTTTGAAATATGGCTAACATGCAAATATTTTGCATGTTTTCATGTATAATTTATATTGTCTTGTTTGCCTTCTCAATGGAAAGGGAAGCACTAAAAGGGAGGGAGAGAATTGGAAATTCAAATTTTAAAAAGAAAAGAATGTTAAAAATAAATAATATTTTCTAAAAAGAAAAAAAAAACATTTAGAAATCTGGTTTTCCCTGGGTCAGAACTGGTTCCCAAGTGCACTTGGTCTAAACCCTGTTTGGCCAAAAACCAGTTGTCTGAAAGGATCTCATTTACCTTGAGGTACTTCATTGATCTAGTAATACCATTTCCAAGAAAAATGAGAAAAGTACCACAGTCAACTAATCTGAACGTCACAGTACCAAAAGTTTTATTACCAATTCTTCTACCTCTGTATAGTATTACTAGCAAATAGACATTGAAAAAACCTGTGCCAATCTAATTAAAGTATCTTTTCATTCTATGTGCCTCATTATTTACAATGCTGTAGTGAAAACAATAACGAGTTGGAAATAACCTATAATACTGCATGTCCTCACTCTTTATACCTTTGGTAGGATTCAAAAGTCACTATGGCTTTTGAAAGGTAAAACCTACATTTGTTCTAGTTTTCAAGTATCTCATCTTGCATCAAAATCCCAAATATAAATCCCCCAATCATAGAATCTCTGAATTAGAAAAAAAAATTTAGAGGTCTTCTACTCCAAATTTTACCTGAGCAGGAATCTCTTCTATTGGTCTAATCAATAAGCATTTATTAAGCTACTAATGCCAGGCACTGTACGTTAAGTGGTCCTCTAGACTTTTGTAGAAGTCATTCAAAAATTTAGAGATGGAAGAAAACTTAAAACTAATAGATTTCAACTCTTTCACCTTAAAAATGGGGAAACTGAGGTCAAGAGAATTTAAGTGATTTACCCAAGGTTCTGCAGGGAGTAAGCAGAATGGCTGGGATTCAAACATAGGTACTCTGAGTTCATGCACTTTCATGTTCTTTCCACTGGATCAGACTGCCATGAAATGCTCAATTTCTTCCTAACACTCAGTTCTGAGCACATCATTCCATGGCCCAAGGGCCTTCAGGGTATTCCCATTCCATGAATGATGTCTATACTCTTAAACCTGGTATATGAAGCCCAGGACAGCTAGATGGCATGCTGGATAGAGTGCCAGACCTGGAATCAGGAAGACTCTTCTTTCTGAGTTCAAACCTGGCCTCAGATACTTCCTAGCTGTGTGGTCCTGGGCAAGTCACTTAATCCTGTTTGCCTCTGTTTCCTCACCCAGAGGAGAAGGAAATGGCAAACCACTCTAGCATTTTACCCAGAAAAACCCCAAATGGGGCCATAAAATCAGTCTTGACTCAAAAATGACTAAACAACAAGAAATGCAGATAAAACTTAAAAGTGTATCATATGTACATTTTTTTTTTCAGAAAGACTTGGTTCTTAAACGTTTTACCAGGACACCACTGGTCTTATTCTTTACGGAAATCTGCAAATCTTAGTAGATGGTAGACAAACTACTGTCTAACCATATCTCCTCCATCATGTACTTGTACGTATTCTGTCCTTTCCTGTTTCATTACTTGTGTTAAGACCATTTGCTATGCTTGAAGTGTCATTCCCTCATCTTCTGTTGCAGAGACCATTGCTTCTCAAGGCAGCCAGTTTCACTTTGTGATAGCTTTGTTATAAAGTTTTTCTTTAGACTCAATTGAAATCAGCCTTTCTGCAGTATCCACCCTTTGCCTCTGCTTCAGCCTTATTAAGTCCAGAATAGCAAGTTAAATACTCTCCTTTATGTCAAGCCTTGAAATACTTGAAGACAGCTCCCTCTCTACCTCTTCTATTCCTCAGGCTTAATATCCACAGTTCCTGCAGCCAGTTCTCCTCAGTTATCATCTCCTGGATCCTAACTATTTTACTTATCTCCGGGTAACCAATTTGTTACCAGTTTGTCAACGCCCTTCCTAAAATAGTGCAACACAGAGCACTATACCCCAGGAAAGGTTCATTAGGAAATATAGCAGCTTTACCTCATGATGATTTGTAGGCACGTTTTTTGAGAGTGGTGATCTGCCATGGACTCTATTTCATTTCATATTTGTCTTCTGCGATAAAATGCCAGATACATCACTGCTCTTTCCCCCTAGTTCACCTCCCCATGGTGGAAAAAAGAGCCAAATGAGGATGCAGCTAAAGGTTTGTTAATGTAAACTAAATGGATTTCGTTTATCACTATCCTTGTCAACAGCCTTTCTACTGGACTGAGAATTCACAGAGATACAAGGCTAGGGGAAGAACACACACTGCTCTATTTTTAGTTGCTGAGTTGTGTCTCTAGGACTTTAGGAACCCAGTTCAATTGCATACATAGCTCAAGGCAAAAAGAGTGAAGGAGTCATTTCTACAACTTCACCAATTATCAGGGATTTGTTTATTTGTTTGTTTTAGTAGCTACTGCCCACATTGTCTATAGCTACCCATTGACTTTCGGTTCTTGGAATGGGTTTTAAACATCAACCTTGGCTCAGGCCTCAGATGTCTGGGCTTCTTGTTTGACACGTGGGAAAGGAGAATAGTCAAGTCTCTATCAGTCAGAGAAGAGTTTAGTTACAGATTCACTTGCAAAAAAGAATAGTCATTGATCCTTCTTTCGGTATAGTGC